TCCACCCACCATCACAGGGAGGCTTTTAGTCTGATCCCAGACATATATATATATATATTTTTTTTTATCGAGTATTATAATTTCATTATAAAATAGATCAAATTATGCAAATTAATAAAATTCATTCTGCTTTATATTCAGTGACTAAACTGATTTTTTTTAAATAATAGATTAATATTTTGTTAAATTTGATAATTAAAATAATATTATGATATAAAATGTGCTTTAGATATCAAATATCGAATTTTCTTATATAAATAGAAAACTCTTCATATAATTATAAAATTTAATATACAATGAAAAGTTGTATACAAATTCAATCAATTTTTTATTTTTGTTATATATTTAAATAATTACTAATACAATAATGAATACATTTCTAAATTATATGCTAATATAATATACATAATAAATTGAATAATAGAATTCTGTACTTTGTCTCAAAAGTGAATTATAATACTATGTTTATAATTAACATAATGTGAAAACAATTAAAACTGGCATTTTATTAAAGTTGAAACAATTGAAAGGAAATTTTACAAAATCTGCACAAACGTAACTAGTTTTATTGTTTGCTTTTGTTACCAGATAATTTTTTTTTAATTTTAATTCAATTTAATTATATTAATCTACATATTCAAATTTTATTTTTACTATTTCCATCATTAAGTAAAAAATTCTAATATAGAACATTTTTTATTGATAACAATAATTAATATCTGTTCGATTTTAAAGATTTAGTTTATGGCTCAAACTACCAATTCAATAGTTCAGTCTATTAGTCTCTCGTCAGGATAACTTTAAAGGAAATAATATGTGAAAGGGCTGAAAAATATTATATATTTTAGTAAAATAATGTTTATTATTTGTTAATAATTCTAATAGTAATACTGCAATGTTGTTGAGAAAGGATTATTTCATTGTAGTAATGAGAGTGTGTCCTTGTATTCTTGATTATCGTAGATTCTATGAATATTACTGTGTATCTTGTAATTGAGGTTATGATGATGTAAATATCAGCTGGTGTAGCCAGTCAATCATGCTCATGAGGTAGCATGAGAAGATGGTGTTTGAATAAAGTATACTTGATGTGTGAATAACTATATTTGATATGGTGGAAGATGTTTACTGGAATTTAGTGAGTAATCAATTGTGTCTTTAATTATTTATGGGGACAGTAGAAGAGTCTAGTCACAGGTAAGAGTCATTAGTGATAAGCATTCGAGCTCTTGAAAGACTTAATGATATGTATTTATAGTCGATTAGTCGATCTATTGTTGCCCTTTCTTGACAACGTGCTTAACGCATAGGGACACTTGTGTCGGCTGTTGAGGGCCTGTACGGTTTCGAAGTGTTAGTTCGAGAGAGCGTAAGTTTGCCCGACCGACTCTTGTGGGCCTGTACGGGGTCGAAGCGTTGGTTCGAAGAGAGAATGTGAAATTGCCCGATTATTCTATTCTATTCTATTATTATGTGACTAGCTTTTTTATTAATATAAAAGATGTATATTGTAAAGTGATGACAAGGTGTGTTTTTTTACTGCGATGCTGATGCCCCCTTTGATTACTACTCCAACTGGCTTCACTGTAACTCACTTCCAAATTTACCGATTTCTTTTTATTGATGCACACGTGCATTATTAACTAGACTGCCGAATATATGGCCACGTGTCGTCTTCACAGTATTCTAAAACTCGGAGCGGCAATTACACTTAAGTGAGCGCGAAGTAAGATTACAATGAGCGTATGAGTCTTTTGAATACGCACACGAACCAAAGACTTGATGGTTCCGTGGCGGCTCTGCTGAAAATACCGACCTTTCCATGGCGGTCCTGCTAAGGGCAGATCGAGACCCGTGTGCCATGGCTTTTACTGGTAGAGGGTTAAATCGGTTCGCTGTGGTCGGTCACTGCGGTCGGTTTACGGCAAGATGTTAGCCGCACACGCAGTTGAGCGAGGGTGGTTCGGCAAGAGAGCCGGTCAGCAAGCAAGAAGCTTTCAGCAAGAGAGCGAGGCGCGCCGCGTTCGTCCCTTATATAGCCACGCGGCGGCTCACTTAGCTGGCAATAAAGCATCGTCGTTGTTCCACTAATTCTTACACGAGGCGTAGAAAGAAAAATTTAGAACCTTGGAGAATTCGAGGAAAGAAAAGTAGGGCGTAATACCTTTGTGTGATCTAATAGTATATTAGATTTCATGTCGTAAAACTTGTTCGGACTTGTCGAGTTGTGTTTATAAACATTCGCCCGAGTGCGCGTGCCGTGCGCTGTACAGTGCGTATACCCCACTTTTTCTTAAATTCGTGGAAATATAACATTAATAATATTTAGTATTATAGTAATGTTTAGTTATAGTAATGTTATATAGTAATGATATATAATTAATATATAGTAATGTTTTTAAATGTTTCTCATCGGTTTTTATTGTTTTCAAATATTTATAACATATTCATTAATATTTTATCATTTACTGCATTAAGAACAATCGAACTCTCATTTTTACCTATTTTCTTACAGACTTTGACCACATTATTATTTCATCAATTGTCGAAACAATTTTTCATAGTTTTCAATATGCAAGTTAGCAAATAGGTTATAATAAGAAAATAATAAGATCTGCTAATATGTATTAAAGTTAAATACGTGAATGTGAACAGAATATCTTATGTACTATGTTACAGAAAAACTGATGTGTAGCAAGAGAGCTTTAATAATACAACGTATTGAAATTGGTTCTTCCCCATTCTTTCTCTATTTCATTCTCTCACAGTTGCTTTGTCTTATTCCTTATTGAAAATAAAGGAAGAATAATCACAGGTATAAAGAAAATCAGCGTTTTGAATGCCCTATAATAAAAAGTATATATAAAAAATCTGTGAAAAAATATCAGAAGCGAAGTAAATATTTTTTAATATTTATACACAACAGATAATTGTCGTAAATAAATTTTGAATCAGTTTAATATTGCATGTTAATTATATATGTAAGTTAATAAATATATTTAAATTTTAACCAAAATTGAAATAAAATTTACTGTATTTTTATAAATAAAAATAAATATCAAAATGCACTATTTTATTTTAGTTATTTCTGTATTATTTGTAAACTTTTTATGCAGTGGAATTAATAGATTTGAATACTAAAATATATATTTGCATCGATAAAAACTATAAATTAAATTGTACAAAAATAAAAAACTTTTTTTTGTTAAGTGGAACAATGACTTTTCGTGCAATGAACATGATCGTAAGTCGTATAAATGTATTTTTAATCATTTCTACGTATTTTCAATTAATTTGAAAATCACTTATGCATTTATTAAATCACAGGTTATAAATAAATAAAGATAAAAAATTCAGGCCCTTAAGTAGAAAAACATCTTGTTTATCTATTTATTTTATGCAAATTTCACTGAAGGGAGTGAACTCCAAATAACGTATAGAAAAACGAATTAGACGCTGAGAACCACTGAGACCTGACCTAGCCTCTTAACCCAACTTATTCCATCCCGTCTCTCAATAATGTAAGCTACATTTTCCCGAATAATATAAAGATTATTCTCGCTCCTGGAAGACAAGCTGAAGTGAAGCCGCGCAAACCACGTCCTCCATGAGAATTACATCGTACATACATTGCATAATCGTCCATATGCTGTGAGACATAATATTTTATTTATTAATTTTTTAGAAAGTTCATCTAAAATGTATTTTTATTAAAAAAAATATCTATTTTTCTAATAATTTTTCTTTTATTTTAATTATTATTTTTTTCACTTTCTTTTTTTAATTACATTTTTCTTATTTTCAAAATTTTGCACAAATACTAATGATTAAGTATCTTCAAGCAAAATATATTATTATTTTGTTCTACACACGAAAGTAGAGTAAAATATAATATAATATAACTCACCTTCTTTATTGGCACTGCTTTTAATTTCCGTAGCCTTTGGTGGCATGGAGGGTTTTAAAAATTCTAAAACAAATAAGCAGTTTAATGGAATTTTCCGCGTGCCAAATTAATTCCAATTAATTCTTTATAATAAAAATACTTTTCTATAGCATAATGGTATTACTGGTTTTATGTTCCAACATTATATTGTTGGATTAATCTTAATTTTGCGCAATGCATTTCATTTAATTTCATTATTTATTAAACAATTTATACCTAAATATTTTACATATTAAAAAAATATGAAAATTTTATTTTACACTCATATTTTGTAACAAATTTCAATTATATTATTCATTTATGCAATAAAAATGATTTTCTTTGTTCAATAAATATTAAAATAAAAAGACTTAATTTTAAATTAATATTCTTAATATTTTAAATTAGTAATCTTAATATTAAAATAAAAAAACTTTATTAAAGAAGTATCGTAGTTATGTATTATTTATTACAATTTGCATTTACATTATTACATTAAATAAAGACTATTTATTTTAATTATTCTATAATAAAAAATATACAGTTTGTAATAATTGAAATTAATATTAAATAATGACTTTACCAGCTAATTTAATTCAGATAGACTTAATTTACTGTATTCAATGTGAGTTAATGAGTAAGAAGTTTAATAGCAAATGAAAGGAAACAGCGCGTTTTCTGTATATCCATTGCTTAAATATTATACAATATGTAATTAATTTGTTCATTTATTTAATAAAATCTGGTTAAATAAGTACATACTAATACTCACTATGATTTTATTTATAAATATGTCTAAAAGATTTATTTATAAGAAGTATAAAAGATATTTTAAATAAATGGAAGTATAAAATATATAATAAAAATATATTTATTCTGATATCATTTTTATTTAAAGTAATCATAATAATAATCAAACAATTAACGATAAAGATTTATAATATAGTTAGTATAAATATATAGTTATAAAATGAATAAACACAAATAAGTAGTTAAATTTAAATCGAATGGTAAATTTATTATCTAAATATGTTTTCCTTTTAAAGTTGAAATTAAACATATTATTTATGATTTAATTTAATTAAAATTATATAATTAATGTTAAATATATTGTACTATTAAATGTGGCATATTTTACAATGGACTGCTGATAATAATTTAATACAGAATATTTAAGATATAGTAATTTTTAATAAATATAGTAAATTTTTTTCACCTAGTTGAATGAATATTAATGTGTATTAAATTTTAATACTGTGTATTACGTTTTTCATAAATCGAATTCTTTTATATCTAACAATTGATTTCTTTAAAATATAGATGACCAATCAACAAACTTATTCTTTAATTATTTAGTTCAGAAATTTATATATAGTTGCAAGAAATAATCTATATGATTATATTGAAAGCATGCATATTTAAATTGTTCGGTTCATGTAAGGTTCATTAATATTTTTAGTAGTTTTATTTATTACACAGCACAATTCGTTCTTCGTACGTTTTCTTATAAATTCTATCTATTTGTTTATTCTTTCTGATTAAGAATTTTCTTTTCTATTTTCAAAAAATATAAAAATGTAAACATTTTTCAGTAGAACATAAAATATTCGTATTTCTTATTGATTCAAAGATATTAAATTAAATAACTGACAATATAAATATAGATTATTCTTTTGTTTCACATATTAATGATCATATTATATATCTTTATCATATTTATGTTATTATTTATGAAATATTTGAAATATATAAATTATTGTTTTATTTAAAAGTTGTGTTTATTTACATTGAAAATTCAAACTAATAATTTTTTATGAAATATTTCTTACTACATAAAAATTACGATAATTAATTTAAAAATATTCAAAAATATCCTATGTCATTAATGAAAATTTAAGTATAAATGTCTACGATATATTAATTGGATTTATGATTAAAATATTGTATTTATGTTACGTTCGAATTAGTGACTACAAAAAATTGTTTATAGTTATTTAATATAAAATTCATAATAAAAAAAATAAAAGTAATTAAATATGTTGAATTGAAATATTAAAAAGTTTGAAGAGTACATTAGCATAATAGTAGTTGTTGCTAACTTACCATACAATCTAATAGATCCTTCAGTCTCACCCAATGAATTTTTACTAATACATCGGTAATTTCCGAAGTCACCGGATTGCAGATTTTTTATGGTAAGCCGCATGTGGGTTCTGTAACTATTTTCTTCATTTTCTGTTGCGTATTTGTCAGTTGACAGTACCATTGAGCTGTTGAACATCCAGTAGCTAATAGCTCGTGGATGGGCTTCCGTGTGACAGTCAATTGTAACATTAGTGCCAGAAGGCGCACCTACCAACTGATTTGGTACCCAAATCATTGGAGAGACTACGATAAGAATGAGCAAAATATGAGAATGTTATAAATGTTGCTGTATCTATTAGAGTTATTGATGTTTGATAGAGAAAATCAAGAAATTTTTTGATAATTTATTTTCATATTTTTCTCTTTAAGCTTGTAAAAATACTGAAGTTAATGTTGTGAATATTTTTTTTTATGATTTTTTAAATAAAAAAATAAATAATGCAGCTAATTTGATTTTATCATTAACGAAGGTAACTGTGTTAATTTATTAAAAGTGAATAATATTTAATCGAATATTACTAACAAATGTATATATATAGAAATATAGTACATACAGATATTTAATATGTGGAAATATTTTATTACAAAGTTCGCCAAAAGTATATATATATTAATAGTGTATTAATTTACATTCTAATTCTATAAATTATTGGTATAAATTTATATTTATGTACGTTTTATATAGTTTTTTTTTATCTGTATTTATTATTTCTGTATTTATTTATTAACTACTGTCTTTTTATTTATAGTACATACGCAAATATATAGGTATATTTAAGAATAAGATAAATTAAAATTTAAGGATATAAGTCAAGAAAATAAATATTCATAAAGAAAATGAAAACAAAATTTTAAAATAAATTGAAACGAAACCGTGAATAAAAGATATTCAAATACTAATTTTTTTCAAATAATATTTTAAAAGACTCACGTGAATGCCTTTTATGAATATTATTCTTTTCTCAAATCATTGACAATAATTTGATAATAATTATGATATTTACATAATATTTGATACCATATTCATTCATTTGCATATTAAATTTAGTTTATAAGTTTATAAAACTAAGATGTGCATAATTTTAATGCGTTCAGTTTTTCACACAGGGATTATTAAATAATACATTGTAGCCTTGCATGTTTCGAAAAATAAGATATGCAAATAACACCTTGTATACTATGTATGTATGTAAATACGTATATATATATTTAGGTAGTGTATAAAATAGAGTACAATTATAAATTTTCTAATGAAACTAAACGAATTTCACAAAATGTTTGAATATATAATATATTTATAGCAAATTCATTATAAAATGCAGAATAAAGTAAAGATGAACTGTTTACACAGAATAATAGATAATTTATATTGTCATAAATTATTTTATGTAAATAAGTGTTGACCACCTCTTCAGAAGTTTAAGCACTTATGATTCATAATTTATAACATAATACATTATTTTGAGTAAAATTATCATTATATTTATTTAATAGCATTATATTTATAACCTTATATATAACGTTTAATATTCTCATTATAATACATCTTTATACATTTTAAATAAGTTATAATAAAAGTTTACACTTAAATTAGAAGTTTATAAAATTAAAAAATTCATTTCATCTCATTTATGAATATATGTAAATATGTATGAATATAAATATAAAGGTTGTTTATATAAATAACGTTTCAACAAATGCAATTTATTGATTTCAACTGCCTCCATCTTTACCGTCAACAAAACTTGAAGAAGAAATTATGACAATACATGATTTTAAAAACTGACTTTTGTAATTAATTGAACTTCTGTTTTTTTTAATATAGTTTTGCTTTAAAACTAAAAGAAATACATTTAAAAATATACAAAAAACGTGAAGAATCACAAAATAAATAATTAGTATATATTAACAAGTTAGTTATACTTTTACAAATAAGTTTACATCTTACACTCGGATAATATGCACTTCTTCTTCATCTCTCTATTTTATAAAAGAAAACATAGTAAAAAATATATATAAGTAAAAGGGTTATAAAAAAAGGGTTATAAATAATTAATAAAAAATTTAATGAAAATCATATCTCACTTTTATTATTTAATTATTAAAGTGAATCTTAAAACATTTTTAATTTTTATGATTAAAAATTTGGAAGTTAAAAGTTTATGAATAGTTTGAAACATTTTTTAAAGTATTTGCTAGCAAATATTCTAAACAATTTAAGACATTATATATGTCAATTTATATTGTATAGAAGTAAAGACATATTAGCTCTAATAAATACTTTCGTATAATTTATTCATTGGTTGCTAGATCTAAGAAGGGTACAAAAACTTTTTTTTTTAATTTCATTTGTTTTAAAATAATTTATATTATTTAATAATTATTTCATTTTTCAAAAGAAATAAAAACAGTTATTTATAGTTACACTTCATTAATTTAGATTTAGATTGACTTTGATTCCTTACAAACTATTATCAATACAGCTTTTCATTATCATATGATCGACATTTTAAATTTAAAAATTTTTTTCAGGAAATATATACGCATCTATCTCATTATCTTTTGATTTGATATTTGTATACATATTTTGTAATCAAATATATAAAAATATGTATTTTTTCATCTACATTTGTATCTTTCTCTCTCTCTTTATATTTATCTATTAATTTATATTTCATTAATTTTTTATATTCATATCACAAGACAATTATGTAATACTAGTGAATTCATATTGTTTTGGAAATTAAGTAGTTTTTGTCTACTTGCCTGATATTTGATACAACTGATAATGAATGCATATTTCTTTCTATATTTGGCTTTTTTTTTTATAAAATCGTTAATACTTTAATAAATCATTTTTCAACTATATGAAAAAATTAACAAAAATTTTGAGAAAATAATTTTTTTTTTATTAATATATATTAATAACGAATTCATTATTATTTAGATCAATCTTTAAATCATTGACAAATCTTGATAATTTTCAAGAAATTTCTATTTGTTTGTTTGTTACTAAAATTTTAAATTGTAGTAGATTTCTGGATATTTTAAATAGAAGTAGAAAACTATTCTGACAATTAATATTCCGATTAAGTTTTTATTCGATCGATCGATTTAAAATAGCATAAATACAATTTAAGAATTCTCTCTATGTAATAATCATTATCATTAATATTGCAAGTTAAATGTTGAATTTTAGTACCGTAGTGCAATTCATGAATGAATTACGAGCATATACTATCACACATTTAGTTTTTTTGTATACACCTCTTCCAGAATAGGATAATAAAATAAATAAATATTATTTATTTCGTATAATTACCATTGCACATATTGGTATCCAAATGGAGATTCATTACTTCGGCGAACTTTCATCGGTAAAATGATATGAACAAGCAGCATGCATAAATAGGCAAAATGACAGGAGCCTCCGGGACTATTGCAAAAGAATTGCTCTGTTTGTTTTTCCCATGGGTTTCGTCGACAATATATGTTAGACCAACTAGAGTTGTTACGACGCAAAAATATAGATAAACATGGTCGTGTTCTCGCAGGAACACAAAATTAAATTTAAATAATATACCAACTTCATATTATTTTCCTGCTTTCCCAAGACTGTTTTACTAGAACTATTTATGCTTTGCAGTTTGGTTATTCGAATACTGGGTCTGTTGACTTCTCAATTGTAAAACCGGGAGCAAGCACAAAGAGGTTACAGTTTTGAAGGATGAAAAATAACGACGTTCAAGTGAAAGTGATTCGAATTTGAAGTTTGAAAAATACTTTTCAATAATGTAATTGCAATGAATAATGTTATTGTGTATTTGATGACGTACATAGCTGGGAATGACACGATAAAGCAACTACTACACTATTACATTATATTGATATGTATTGTGTAGCATGATATTATATTGTCAAAGTTTTCAGAACTTTATATTTTCTATTAAAAATAATTACTTTACTTTAATATTCTATATTTTTTGTTATTCATACAATAAATTTAAGGGCATACTAGCAACCTGTTTTAATCAATTGGATTCCCTTATTCAAAATATTTGACTTTTAATTAATATTGTAATTAACCACGAATTCATTATGTTAATTTTAATTGAATTTACATATATTAATAAATATATGAATAAAATTTGAAGTTGATTAGATTAAATAAAAAATGAACGTTTAAACTCCGTCATAACTGTTTTATATTTATAATATTAATCTTACAATTTTTATATTTCTACTAACATAAAAATTAATGTTCATCATAACTGTAATATGTACATAAATACAATATGAATCATTAATATCTTTTAAATATTATTCAACATAAAAAAATGAAAAATTTTATGTGTATTAAATACGAATTTATTCACAATCTTTAATTAAGTAGAGTAATATAAAATATTTAATCATTTATATTATAAAATTATTAATTCGTAAAGTTTTAAGATCCAAATGATAAATTTTAAATTATATCATTATCATGAAAATATTGTTAAATTTTAAAAAAATTGTTGCAAGAGTATTAAGATATAATAAATATTATAGGATATAATAAATATTCGAATATATATAGATACTATTATCGTGGTAACTTTCAAACATGAAGTATCGATGAGGATAATGATAATGTGGGAAAAGCAAAGCTAATGAAAGTATTACTAGTATCATTGGAAAAACTTAATTTATTGCTTAGAAGTAAATTATGTTTTAATATAAACTTTTCATTTCTTTTGTTTAAAATTCGTTAACTTGAAATAAATTCAATAACTATAACTTATAGATCACTATATGTATAGAAAATTTTAAAACTTCTAAGGGAGTTCTAATTCAATCCTCAATCTATAAGTACCAGTGATCTATATTTATCTAATAATAGAATATAAATAATAGTAAATTAATTGTAATGTTAAAAAAATATTAAAATTGTATAAAATGATTTGTTTTTAATAAGATTAATATAACTTGATATTCTTTTAAGCTTTTCCATTTTAAAGTGTATGTATTAATAATAATGAATAATATTTCATAATATTTATCACAATTTATAAATTTATAATATACATAATCTTAACCATTTAAATTGATAGAAATTGTTATAATGGGATCTATATGAAATTTGATTAGGAAAAATTATTTTATACATATAGATAACTCTATATATTAAACTATCTACATAAATCTACACGTGTCAAGTTAACAAAGACAAAATCTTAACAAGAAATATAATAAAACTCACATTCCACGTCGACAATAATCCTTTTGCTAACCGTTGGTGGTACACCATTACTTGCTATGCATAAATAAGCTCCCATTTCACTTCGCGTAATCTTCGTTAAATTTAACTGCTCTCCCTCCAATGCATTTACTGCAAAAATAAACAAATTAATTCAAAGTTCATAATAATTCATAAAGTATTACTAAAGATTTCTAGATAGTATATTAAATATGTGTTCTAATATATTTAAAATGATTAAAACATAATTATTTATATAATTAATACGTTACATTCTTCTAAACATGTTAAATCATTACATGATAATTATATTTGTTAACATTCAATTTAATTTAAACATTTATTATATTTATTAATTGAATATTATATAAGGTGTATAAGTTATATGACATTATAGTGCTATTGTTATATTAATATAAATCTTATATATATTTATATATATTTAATGTAGTCTTTTTGCATGTAATAATTTCATAATTACTAAGTAACGTTATCATTACTTAATATATAATTATATATATAAGTATATAATTATAAGTAATAATTACTAAGATACAATTCTTTAAATATATTATAATTTATATATTATAATCAATATTCAAATAATCTTTAATAATACATACTAAATTTAACAGTCGATATTAACCCACAGTCAATGGCACCATGGTGCCGATAGATGGCATTAGAAGAATGGATCAATGAATCTAAACCAGATATAGTTTACGAAGAGGAGGCTGTACGTAAAGTCTGTTATATCGATGATATCAAATTCAAAGTGAAAAAGAAAAATTATTATATTATCGTGGAAAACACATGGATACTAAATACATGGCATTGAATGACTACACTGATAGATATTATTCAATCATTCAAATTTTCACAATGATATTGTTGATGTTATTTATAAATAAAATTGAAAACTTTCTTGTTTAAGAAATATATGTACTCAAATTGGATGTTATTAAATAGTTGCCATGAATCATATAAATTTCTAATAAATTTAAAAAAAAAATTTAATTCAATTATTTATTTTAATTTAAAGTTATTTGTTCAATAATATGTATTGATTAACTGAATTATATAATTATATTTAAATATAACTTTCAGAAAATATTATGTAAATAAAATTTAAGAATTTAATATAAGAGTAAATATAAAATTAAATTCTTCAATAAAGAATGTACATGCTATTTATATTTTTTATCAAATTTAAATATACAAAATTAAATGAAACAGAACATTTTTGTTAATAAATTGTAAATTTATAATGTATATTCATCTAGTTTTATGAAACCAACAAAAATTTAATAAATATAAATGAATTCTATTAATAAATTTATTTTTAATTTATACAAATCTGCATTTATTATTTTTGTAATATTTTTATTTTTGAAAACATAATATTAATCATTTCATGAGATTATTAATAAAACATTCTATTATTAAAAATAAAAAAATAATAAAGCTATACATTTCCTTTTATCTTAAATATTTCAAATATATTAATTTTATTTTCTTATTAAAATTATTAATTATTTCATTAACATTTATTGGTTTTCTACAAATATTATATGAAATTAAAATTGACATTGAAATTTTAAAAATTTCAAAACGCGATAGATCATCTTTAAAATGTAATTCATTAAATTAAAGCTAAAAATTAATTACGGGATTTTTTGTTGTCACAAAAAAATGCTCAATTAGAACTACTGTCTATACTGTTTTCTTTATTCAAGTCATTTTCGTATTGCAGTCTCTATCAAAACAGAGATAAAATATATTGTATTTTTTTCTAAATCCCAAAAAAGTTAGATAGAACAGTGAAAAAAACCGTAACTACCCAATTCGTTACATTCTCCACAAAATATCCAAATTGATTATATAAAAAATTTACAAATATACAAAAAAACGTTTTTATGATTGATGTACTGTTTATATGAAACTCCTTATGTTTGCGAACTTCTTTTTTTTGTATTGTAATAATATTATAATAATAATGCAAAATCAATTACTTATGCATATATATATATACATATATATATAATTTTAGTTTGCCATACAATGCGTAATATGTACAATATGTTATGTACAGTATGTAAACATACATATATATAATTTTTTTGTCGTATATAATATGTATAATACATATATGAAATATTAATTTTGCCGTATGCTATAATAATATTTTGTATGCTGTTTTCCCGTTATAATCTAAAAATATATTGTATCTTTTTTTTAAAAACTTTTTTTTTTAAATTTTTTTATAAAACAATGTTATCAGACTAATAATTATGACATTATTGTTTTAAAATATTTAACCTAAACTTTTAGTATAATTTATAAATTTTAAGCATATAGTTATTATATATGTTAATAATGATGGTGCCAAATATAAATTAATTGACAACCGGTTGTATTCCGTTGTCCTGTATACAATAAATTCAACCGCTTCCTTGTGCTTTTCTAACTGGAAATTTACGATATAACTTCCAATGTGTCAATAGATATTGCTAAACTATTATATAAATCTGTCGAGAACCCCGTAAACTTCGAGAAAAATAAAAGACTAACGGCATAAGTATAGAAATACAAAATTAATCAAATGGTTATTAATCATTTAAACTACTATAGTTTATCTATCTAAAACTAATAATTAAATAATTGTATTGTTTCAATAGAAAAAACAGTTTTATTAGTATACACGTATTGCATTTATACAGTTTTATAAAGTACCTATTTTAATAATTTAATATTATATTCAATTTAGATAGTCTATTAGACTTTAAAAAAATTTTTAATTTATTACTTTACGAAAAGTTATGAAGGAACAGCAGAAAACTATTGTTAATTAATTACCATTGATAATATTTAATTATATAATGTATATATGATAGCACTCTGTCAGGATATATAATTAAAAATTTAAATTAAAATCTAAATTTATTATATATACAAATAAAACAATAACATACGATCAAAAGCTTTTTACGAATTGACTTGTAGATAGAATAGTGTATTAATATTCTTATGTTGGATTATACAAAATTTACAATACCTCAGGGTCTTAATGGTATATAATATTTATTATTTTAATTTCGGCTGTATTTGGAAATGAAAAGTCGAATAAAACATTTGTAATAAAATAATTTAATTGTATTAAAAGAAAAGTGTTAAAAAAGAATAATATACTTCTGTCTATAATTCAATAATTTTATGATTTATATTCATTAAGTATTGCTCTATACATATTTGATTAAATTATTAAATTATAAATATATGAAAGTTAAAGTAAATAATGCTGTATAAACAGTGATCAAAATATCTACTGATTATAGTATTATTAATTGATAATAAGATTATTAAAAAATATTGAGAACATATTTATAAAATAACAAGCATTGAAGAATAGTATCAAATATTCTTATTAATGCATAAGAACGAAGTTATTAAAAAGGATACTCGTACATAATAAATAAAACTTTTTATAATCATCTGATATGAAGTTTCCATAAAACGTCTTTTTTCCTTAAAAGACGAGTTTAAAAAATGGTGTTGAAATACTCTAACGGGCTAAGATGTAGCGATTTTTCATAAATTAATGTATAACTCAATTTAATTCTTCAAATTTTAGCATTAAAAAATCATACAATGTTAATTACCTATTATCCTTTTTACGTATCATATTTATTATTTTATTTACTATAATTATTATTTTTTAATACAGATATAAATTCATTATTGTTTAAATTTGAAGATTTCAGAGTTGCATACTTTTTAATAATTTTTTGAACTTTACTTTCACTTTTATGGACTTTCAATAAGAGAGTGTAAATACTTTTTTGATGTATTTTATTTTATGTAAGCTAATTTATTTACTAAAAAATTAAATAAAAATTTAATCAGATAATAAATTGTTATTGAAATATAAAAATATAAATATATTTTATTCAAAATTTTATATAGAAATACTATTATACAAATATTCGTAGATATTAATCATTTCTTATAATATATAATAAATTAATTTATATAAATTAATACGATATAAATTATAAATAAATTGATAAATATAGAGAATCAGAATGCAATAGGATATAATTTTAATATTATAATAAAGAAATATGCATTTATATTTTTCAAGAATTAATCGTCATTTTATTCCAGTTTCTCATAAAGACGTACAACATAATATAAAAAAACCTCCTTATTTATGTAAATATTATTAATAAATCATCGATAATTAAGGATATAAAACGTTATTAACTCATTTTCCTCATCGTATGTACTTCGTTGTTATCCAATTGTTTATATACATATTTAGTTCCTTTATATACATCCTTTATATTTGGGAAAATACAGAAAATATAGGTACAGATTACATTTTAGTATTAATCAATACATCTGTAGATAACTATAAGATCTTCAAATTAAGTTAATTATAATTCCTTAGTGGTTACGAAAACTTTTCAATTATTTTTCACACGTTTGTTCTTGTATTTACATTAATTTCTTTGTTTTTCTACTTCATTCTTTTACATTTCTAAGAAATTCTCAACCATGCTCACAAAAATTTGTTTGTGCATTTATGTACGTAAGAATAGTCCATGCAACATTAACTAACTATGTAACTTTAGTACGGTTTCTTGTTTGTGCATTTATGTACGTAAGAATAGTCCATGCAACATTAACTTCTAATGAGCTTTAAGTTAATAGTTCTTCGAGCGATTATCTGACAAACTTTATCAGTTTTTAATTCATGCTTGCTTCCCTATCTGATCATATATGAATGCATTGACTTGAAACTTCTCACCATTGTTAGAATCCTTCATTATTTAAGCTAAGAGCCTAACAGAAACATTCAAATTAAATCATGTTTGTCAAATTGATAGTCAGATTTTTAATTATTTCTGTATTGTAGTTGTTATTTTTTTATTGCAACTTTAGTTATCACGTACAAATTTATACATGCAATATATATACCAATGTAGCAGTAATTTCCGGAATGTTGAATAAATTACCAAACATTTAAAAAATGATAGGTCAAATGAGAGTTTAATTGCAATTATGATTGTATTATATCAAAATTTTACAAAAATTATTCATTGTAATATTAGTATTTCAAGTGGTC